AAATGAGCCTATTTTGTCGTAAGTTAATTAAAGAAACTGAAGAAGGCTTATTACCATACTCTTCAGTGCCGAAAGGTGTTAGTGCGGTGATTGTTAGTTTTTAAACAGCAATTTGTCGTCAATAATTATCTTGCACTAAGTGTCTGGCCAATTCAGGACTGCTATATTCCGTGCCGTCTAATTAATTGTTACGCAGCCCTAACAAATAGTAGTCTAACAAATTCGATCCTAGCGGTGCCGGCTAGGTCGGTAGTGAAAAGATATGTGGGTGGTGGTGCGCCAAAAGAACTAAGACTCGTTTTTGCGCATTTACGAGAGGTTTCCATGTCCTAGAGACGGAATCATGAAATTAATGACAATCATGCATAGGCATTAGCGGACAAGGGTTACTCCTGCGAACTTTCTAACGACGTCCAACCTGGAGTTCCAAAAGTTGAGAATGGATCTAGCAAATAATTGCACTGCGTTGTAGCAGGCTTTTAGTGTTTTTCGCATCGCGCTTTTGATACTCTTATGTCGTAAAGAACGTGCTCTGCATCTTTCTAGGACAGTCTCGATTATTTGTCTGACTACTAATAAATTCCCTGTTAGATAAATTGGCCGCGGTCAAGGGCGATTTGATGCTGATCTCCATACATGCATTTGTATAGTTAAAGCACTGCACATTCAGTATTTATGGGGCTTGATTCTGTGACCAGCGATTTACTACGGCGCTTAGTGAAGCCCAGTATAAACCCGTCTTCATTCTGTGGTTTCGTTGTCCCAAGCCTGACCATCTTCACAGCTTTAGGACACAAGAGGATAGTCTGGGTTACAGTGATTGACCTTTGCCATTTGGGCTACCAGGGTTCCATCTAAGCTGGTCTTGCGCCGAGTTCAGAGTATTCAACTTCACCAAGGAAAGAATCTAATCAAAGCTTTATAATTTCCTCAGGAATTGGGTTGCGAAATTGGAGTAAATTCCTCGGGATCAACCGTATTTGTCCCAATCCGAAAGTCTGTGTGAGTCATGGAGCCGAAATCCTTCAGTTTAATCGAAGTAATCTCCATAATATTCAAAAACCACTAACAAGTATTATGCAAACGTTGATTTACTTATCATACCAACTTAAAGTTTTTAGCTGGGCTCCGTTCTGACAGTATGATGAACCAGTTCTGAGATCAGATTCTCTGGTACAGCCCAGAGATATTTTCTGGCGTCGTCAGCTTCGGTTTTAAGTGTTTTTGGATTTTTATCCCCTGTGCTTTTTTACTAGGATGTTCCGTATGTATAATTCGAATACGGAAATTGGTTGCTTGCTTTCTTTTAGCTCCTATCTGCCATGAGCACAGATATTTTGACAAATAGGGACTTAACAGTGTCATTTTGCAAAAAAATATAATGTGACTCATACCTTGCCAATCTACTTGCACATTCTCTGTGCCGTTTCCCTCCAGAGGTATTGCATCACACTTTAACTAACAACAGGTACAACATTTAAACGACAAACTCCTTTGCAGTTTTTTTGACAGACCTCGGTGATATGTCACTTGTGTCTTTTTTGCTCATTTTTAACTGCTTCGATAAAAAACGTCTTCCTCTGGTATCTTCATTTTATGCCCCTCTGGGTTGAATTTAATCTCAAAAGGTTGTTGATGGAAGCTCCGAACGGGTGCGGCGATGGTAAAGAACTGGTGGAATTTCAGAAGCAATTTCGAGAGATGCTTATTAAGAAACAGGTATGTATGACGCTTTAGATTTGTGTTTTACGGTTTTAGTTGTCTAATCACGTTCACTTTGTCTACCTACGGTTCCTTATCCAACTTAAATGTTTCATTCCTTTTCTGTCTAGGTGTCCGCCTTTTCGACTTGGGAAGATGAGCTTCATAAGATAGTTTTTGATCCACGGTACCTCCTACTCGTCAGCAAGGAGAGAAAACAGGCCTTCGAGTCTTTTGTTAAGGAACGTGCCGACGAGGAGCGAAGGGCGAAGAAGGAAAGGTTTACTGAACTGCTCCAGGAGGCGAATCTCTCCTCCAAGTACGTGATTCGCGTTGGCATAGATGTCATGTTTCGCAGCGGGTTTTCTAAAAATGTTTCTAATTAGAAATAATGAGTACATCCTTAGTTTTATCTAATGGAGAAAAATCCCATTGCCTGGGTCTGAGTGGAATCCACGATAGCGCCCTAACCACCTGAACGATGAAGCCCTATTGCAACTTGCGCCTGGTGGTCTTTAGTGGATTTCAGATTGATTGCTTAGGAAATTGTACTTTGTCAGTCAACTTACTGTATCAAAGTCAGTTAAGTCCATAGGATAGGTTGCCCCCAGTGTGATTAAACAAGACCCGGTGGCGTCTCAGATGTTAAGAGCATTGCCTGCATTGAAGCTCTGCCATTGCTGTCGTGTTTTCGAACCCTGTCGAGGCCGCCGAGTTTTGCACAACCGAATCAAGTAAATTATTAGAATCTACCAAAACCTAGGTCAGAAAGTCAGCAGTTCGTACCTCTTCTCGTGTCCGTATGTAACTGTATTCAAAGAAATGGCTACTGACTGCAGGCCAGCCGTATCTTTATTGCAGGTTGTTTGTGTAGGCCATACATCAGAAAACGTTTTCGAACTTATAATTGGGCCTTCTGTTCTTCATGCATCATAGGTCTTCGTTCTCGGATTTCTCTTCGAAATACGCCAAGGACGAACGGTTCAAGGGCATTGAAAAAATGCGAGAGCGTGAAAGCCTGTTCCAAGAATTCGTATCAGATCTACAACTTCGCGAAAAAGAGAAGCACAGTCAGAAAGAGAAGGTACGTATTCTTCTTCATCTATCGGCAAATATTAGCAAAGCGACTTAATAAAAAAGAACCGCTGTCGAGAACAGTTGGCTTTCTGAACTTGCCCTACTGTCCTGTGAATATGTTATTGTTTTATGTGGTGACTTC